TTTATTATATTGGCGCTTCAACAGTAAATTATCTTTTGAAACACATTATTTACCATTTCAAACCAACATAGCAGTAGATAAACTCCCCCCTCCCCGGCCACTCCCTACCCTTACCCATTCCCAAGTTATTTGTGAAACAAATATTAACACGTTTATAAACAGAGCTGGAAATAATGAGGTGGCTGAAATGTGCATACTCATTTGAAATGAAATATAAGGAGGAAGAGTTGACAGTTAAAAAAAATCTTTATGCTGGTGACTAATCCATCTTAATGGAAGCGGAACGTGAGAGTGATTCAGGTTTTGATACATGTAAAGTTAGCTGCTGCCATCTCCCAGTTTACAAGGAGAAAGACGGTCAGCTACATTCGTAAGCGGATGTGCGATAAAATCCTGTTTGCGTATAAAAACGTTGCACTTGAAAAATTCTGCCAGTATGTAAATTCCGGCTGCAGTTATTCTCTTACTGAAGACTGGCAGGTTATTAAAAGCAGGATCAGATCTGCACAATCCTCATGATTTTGCATGATTATTTTTAAAAATAATAATATTAAAGCAACCTTTGCACACAAGTGCAAATCAACGTCTTCACAAGCCATTGAGATATGCTGCTGTGCAAGACCCACTGAAAGCAACAGGACCTGCACAAGAACACACCATTTTCTGCTCTTGGGGCAAGTTCTATTCATTTCAACGGGAGTCTTATCAGAGCTCCCCACTGGCTTATACTCAACAAGCACAGAGCTGTGCCCTTAAGCACCACTGGTTCCCATGAGTCTTGAAGATACCCAACTGTAAGCTGAGTTCAGGCCCATATCCGCAGTCCTTCACACGCACTAGATACCTATGCCAGACTGCTCTCTCAACACCTTTTAAGAGGGCACCGACGTCAACACAAATCTCCTGGTCAGGTGTGCAACTGCTCTGCACCAGGAAGTAGACTGCAGTAATGCATCAGTCTGGAGACTTAATGCACAACCCAGCTCCAATTTGCAGGGAACACACTTGCTGCCAGTAGCAAGAATGCCACAACTGAATGAACTTCAGAACATTGGTGTTGGGTCCTTACGTCTGCCTTTATTTGAAGCAAGGACGGCTAAGCCCCAGTTCAAGGGTCTCTTCCACCAGAAAGCCACTGATTTTTGTGGCAGCAGCAAAAGGGGGGGCAGGGGGTTAATGTAGATCAAATGCTGGGGGGGGGGTAGAGCTCAGTGCCCTTGTGGGGATGTAAATCATCCCTCCCCGGTCACTGGATTGATCACTTGAATGCAGAGATGGCGACAAATCCCCATCCTCAACTAATCTGCATGGGTTAGCTGAGAAAGAGTGTTTGTGCAGTCTGCAGAAGAGTGTGAAGTGGCCATGTGGCCCCCAGAGGCTTGGGTGTGGCCCTCAGGCTCAGCAGCCCCTGCTGTTTCACAAGGGAACAGAAACAACACGATAGGTTGTGCCACTGACAAGTCCAATTTGTGGAACTGAGCACTTGAGCTTGCAAACCGCAGTGCTCAGATCAGGGCCTGCCTTCCAGTTGAACCTCAAGGACTGTCTGTTTACAAGCAGAGGCCGTTTTCTGAACAGGAGGCGCCCGATTCCAACCCTTGATGCAATTTCCCAAACTTCTGAGAGCTGACACAGCCATGTCTGAATTAAAAACGGAGGCACACATCACTGCTGCACCCAAAGCGGTTTCCTTTTGTAGTGTGTGAGAGGAAGAATTGCTATCCAGGAGAAGCCAATTTCTTGCGTTTCTGCGTAAGCCGCTGAACGGAAGGAGCAGAAACTCATGCAGAGATGCAATGGGAAATCTCTTTGGAGGATGCCCAATTCTGCTGCAACTCTGTATTTAATATGATGCAATGGAGACAGAGACACACCGCAGAATGATCTGCCTCCAGCTTGGCTGGTCGGAAGGAGGGGAGGGTGGAGCAATCCATCATGCAGAGACACACCGGGCAGCCTCTCCTGTACTTTGGAATTGCATGAGCTTTTAACTATGCAGTCCAGTTTATGTCACAAAGCACACAACGCTCTCACAGTCGACAGTTTGGGAATGACTGCTTTGCACTGTAATCCTATACTTGTTTACTCAGAAGCAAAAAAATTTATTCCCCCAATGGCGCTTATTCCAAGGTAAGTGTTTGTAAAAACTGCAGTCAAGCAGGGGAATAATTCAGTTTTTTGGTGGGGGAGAAAGGTACTTACACAAATCTGTGGCTTCAGTTTTTATACTGTGCATTTCTTGTTATACAAAGAGGTATTATGACTACAGCACAATCCATTCAAATAGCAAAGTTATCTATATGTATCCCCAAACAAATCACTTCAATGACTACTCACAATGTGGGGGTCAAATGGATAGTCCCACAAGGTTTGTTGTTTGCAGAACAACTTTGTTGCCAATCTCTGTCCTTAGGAATTATATTTTTTCTTAAAAAACAACACCACAATTATTACATCCATCTGTCACTGGTGAATGTGCAACAGCTTTGTATTTTCTAAGGCACAATTTTAATGAAATGTGTAACTTCCTATCAGACAATCGTATGTTTTAAGATAGACACAATCGTATACAAATGCTTTTGAGTGACAAAAGGAGGCATGATTGCATGTTTGCACAACTGCACATCAAGACCCACCTAGACACATAAATAAATAGTGACTTTGTGTCACCCTTAGAAAATATTTATTGCTTACCTAAGAAATGTCTACTGTTTCTTTCTGCTAGCCCACCAAGAGATAACCGATGTGCAAATACAGTCACATACAACAAGGAATCTCAATTAATTTTGTTTGTTGCTTTCATATTCTTAAGGCAGCATAAATATATTTTTCCTTTTTGAAGACCATAACTACATAGGCTTTCCAATCTCTCGCACCTTTACTCAGCCTGCAGAAGATACCCAAGAATACTGCTCACAAACCACTATTTTACAACCGTAGCACAGCGGCTAAATCTAGCGTGCTGCCTCTGATCACCATCCCAGTTCCTTAGGAGTCAGGAAAATGTTCAATCAGAAACACACGCGGTGCACCTGACTTGACCGGGTTTAAATCCAGATTCAAATATAACACCCTCTCTCTTTTATTTCTTGCACATTTGAAAACTTCCATCATTATTGGTCAAGAGGGCTAGTTCTTTAGCTATCTTAAAAGCACGGTTGCTGCTGCTCCTTCCTCGTGGCCGATTCTCATGCTGCTCCAGAACATAACATTATGTGCACACCGAGGAGGCTGCATGTGGGGAACGATGTGGCTGCTTCCCATTCCTACACTGGGAATGCACCAGTGTCAAAGTAACCACATCAGATGCCCACACTCATAGTACTTCTCCCACATTATGCATGTTACCAGAGTGGTGTGGGAACTAATCTGGGGATAATGGTGAAGACCACACTGCTAAGGGAGCACACAAACAGCCTTGGAAACATGCGCATTGATGCACTACGTGTTCAGGCTGTCTTCCTAGGCCATTGACTCTTAAGCCTTTGTAGCGCCATTTCCCTTCAGAGCATACGGCTGCAGGCATAAGACGCAATGTTCCAGGAACAGCCAACACATGGGGACTGATGCCAGCACTTTATCCCTCCTAGAATAAAAGTGTTTGGCCTTGCCCTAAATTTGTGGGCGTGTAAACATACCCAAATCCTAAGCATATTTATTTGGAAGTGCATCTCACTGGTTTTAACCTAAGGAGCTTAGGATCTCAGCCGAAATCATATGATTATTACCATGTATTCATACGGGCCCAGGTTCCCCCTTTAAATTCAATATATGCAGAATCATTGGGGTACAGAAGTTTAACCAACTCTGCGGCAACTTTACTGGAAGCAGGAATATATAAATGAGTAGTCCTGAAGTTGTACCCATCACTGAATACTCCAGCGTCAAGCATGCCCACTCTCTGCAGAACGAAAGGCTATACAGCCCAAAATTCCAGAGTGTCTGTCCTGTTTTCTTCAGGCTGTGCGTCTCCATCCCTACTGCCCACAAACATCTTTCCCTACAACCAAAAATTAGCAGCCTTGGCTTGCAATGTTGCTCCACCGACCTTGCAGAAAGCATTTGCAGTAGTCGTTCTACGATATTTATCTCAAGGTGGACTTCTTAACGGTTATTCTAGGGTGCCCCAGGTCCTGCATCCTCAGGAGCCATTTTATTTTCCATACAGCAAGTGGTCGGAGGTGCTAAGTGTTTATGGGTCAGGCTCCATAAAAAGTTACACCCCCCCCAAGCAGCAACACTTTCACTTTCACAATTATGGTACACACGTGCTGAGGCACAGACGGACCATCACACACCAGCACCAAGGGAGAAAAATAACGTCACATCTTCACGGAGAAGCATTGAGGTTGGGATAGATGATGACTTAGGTACCAACTTTCCCCCACATCTAAGTCAAACCCTGGGCACATCTCGATTAAAAGTGGGTACAGCTACCAGTGGCTGGTAAATTGCTTCAGAAAGAAGATTCATGTCATGGGCTGCCTGTTGACCGATCCCTGTTGAGTATTTCTACAACCTTGAATGCATGTATTATTTAAGCTTAGAGAAAACACTTCATTCGGTAAAATAGTTTGTTATTACAAGAAACATCATTTTATGCACACAACAGATGGCATGACTGTCAGTCCAATCCTAGGCATGTCTACTCAGAAGTAAACCCCACTGAGTTCAGTGGGTCCTATTCCCAGGTCCATGGGTGTAGAATTGAACATGCAATCACTTGCTCACTCAATTTCCTGACTTCCACTGAAAGTAATATAGTAAAATGTTTCAGAATTACAGGATGTTTGGATCAAACTAGTGTCTTTGTATATATATATAAAAGTTACCACTTCAGAAACAAAACAGGGGGGAAACTGCTTTCTGTCATGCTGTTTAAATTTTCTTCTTCAAATGCAACTAATTAGATTTACACATTGGCATATTATAGAACATCTACAAAAAGTAGTGTAAACTTAACATTCTCAGTTCCTAGTCGTATTAGAAACAGGACAGGTTTATTGCATCTTTATTTCCTTGTTACTTTCATAAGAGCAGATTCGGAAACCAAACGTAACTGATAATATGGAACACGCACGCTCCCGCGAGAGGGAAAAGGAGCTGAAAGTCCAGAGATGAACTTCATACATGTAATGGAAGTGAATTAAGAAAGGGGGTGGAATATGTATTGCATTGGAAAGTAGCTGATGTAGCCTCTTGTGCCTGCCTTGCAAAGATGAGATGAGAGCTATCAAGTCCATGGATATAAGCTCTGACAAGTGATTGTCCCGAAGAAGCCCCAGGAACAGAACAACAGCGACAATCCTTCTTGGAGAACACATTTGCACGCAAGACTGAAATCCATGTCACAAAGTCGTGGGCTGACCAGCGGCTATAATTAAGACAAAAACGGGTAGAAAAAGTGAAAGCGCTTACGTCATTCTTCATATCCGGAAGCAAAAAATAATAAAAATAATATGAAGATGATGGAGTTTTCGGAGCTAGCTGACCTAACCAGAAGAGTCCGCGACCAGAAGGGGGAGGAGTATCAGGAAGAATGGACAAAATTTAATGATTATTTAGTTAAATATGTAAAGTTAAATTAACTGGAAATAGCTTGCAGATACTTAATTGGCTTAGGATTTTATATAAGTTAAGTGATGAATTAATATGTTTAATTTTAAAATGAAAAGATATAAGGATGTTAATGTTTAAGTTAAATTTCATAAGAACTTGGATTTGGAAAACCGTTAAAAGGATATGCATGGAAATTCAACCAAGGGGAAGCGAGGAAGTCACTTAACAATGTTAATAAGTGTAATTTTAATAAGGCTATGATCTAAGTTTGTTCGTTTGTTTATTTGTTTGTTTTGTTTATAATTTTGTGAAAATTAATAAAATTAATAAAATAAAAAGTGAAAATAATAAACAATAAAAATTTATTTATATCCTGCCCTCCCCAGCCGAAGCCAGGCTCAGAGCGGCTAACAACAATAAAAGTAACACAGCATTCTAAAATCAATTCAGAATCAAATTAATGGCAACTGCAATGTATTTTTTGTGTACAAGCATCCTATGACCTCCTTCCTTCTGTATTTCCAATCTTAAACAGCTGAAGAGAGGGTGCAGTGCACCACCGGGGCTTATATGGCTGTGTACATTTAAAGGAGATGCTGGAATTGAGTCTCTGAAATGGATAAACCACAGTTCCCAGAATTCTTTGGGAAAAGCGATGTGCTTTATATGCAGTTACTCAACCAGGGTTGAGAGATCAGGCGCGATGCACACCCTTCTCCCACCTCTCCATGGCTCCCCCCAGCTCCCCACTAAGTGAGCACACTAGCGTTTCCTTAGCATTGCAAAAATCTCAGCAGTAGTCAGCAACTGGAAACGGGAACGTGGTTTTCCGTCAAATCGCCGTCTACTTTCTGTCCACCCTTTCGCAGAACAGGCTATAGCAGTTAGATTCAAAGTCAAAGGAGAATGTGGGATTGAAATAATTAAAGCCACACATCTAAATGATAATTTATCCATTGTTCATTTCATATTTACAAAACGTGCGACTCCCTGGTGCAAATTGACTGTGAAACTATACAACAGTGCCCTCTACCTTTCAGGATGTGGAAGTGTTTCCCAGCGCAAAAAGCAGCTTCTTAGAATTAGTTTTTTTCCTTCTCATTCTCTTTATAATAACAACACACTTTTTCTTCCCCGGAAAGAGGAGAGGTACATCTGTTGTGGTTCCCTTCTTTACTCAAAGCATCTGAAGGAGCGTCTCCACCCCCATCGTTCTACCCGGACACTGAGGTCCAGCACCAAGGTCCTTCTGGCGGTTCCCTCACTGCGAGAAGCAAAGTTACAGGGAACCAGGCAGAGGGCCTTCTCAGTAGTGGCACCCACACTGTGGAATGCCTCCCATCAGATGTCAAGGAAATAAACAAATAAACATCTACCTGACTTTTAGAAGACATCTGAAGGCAGCCCTGTTTACGGAAGTTTTTAATGTTTGATGTTTTATCGTGTTTTTAACATTCTGTTGGGAGCCGCCCAGAGTGGCTGGGGAAACCCAGCCAGATGGGTGGGGTATAAATAATAATAAATTATTATTATTATTATTATTATTATTATTATTATTATTAAGCTATCTAATGGCAAACATGTATGTATCAACTTGTCCGCAGAGCATCTTAGGATAGGGCAGTGACACTGGGCAAACATATCACAGGCTTCCTGTTTCCAGGCTTCTCTGTCATATCTAAAATATTTATACCCAGCCCATCTGGCTGGGCTTCCCCAACCACTCTGGGCAGCTTCCAACAAAATATTAAAATACAGTAATGCATCAAACATTAAAAGCTTCCCTAAACAGGGCTGCCTTCAGATGTCTTCTAAAAGTCTGGTAGCTGTTGTTCTTTTTGACATCTGGTGGGAGGGTGTTCCACAGGCCCAGCCAGATGGGTGGAATATAAATAATAAATTATTATTATTAAGCATGCATCATGGAATGTGAGCAGCCGTACCCTCTGAGCCAGCTGGGACAGCCTGCCTTCTGCTAAATTTGCAAATGAGCTAGGCAGTGCTAAAAGATCAGTGCAAACAGGTGAATGCAGAGAGGCAGGAACAGCCTCTGTCGCTTCCTGGCCTTTTGCACTGAATTTTGAAAGGAATCAGAGCGGTTTCTTCTGTCATTCCCCACAGCCTGTGCTCCAGAGCCAGTTTACAAACTCACAACGGTGGAATATCAAGCCTGCAACCTTCCTGCAGCTACGAGTATCTTGTGGGTTCACAGAACATGCAAGCATCCCCTCTTTTACGTGACAATGGTAGTATTTTATTTTACTGCCATCAGCCTCTTAATATCCCGTTAGCTCTAGCATTTAGTACTGTTGATTTCGCAGTGCTAGATTATTTCAGATATCGGTACGACTAACCAGGAAAAAGATCGGGAGGCGAAACCTGCAATCTCTAAGTCACTCTTTGCGAAGGTCACTGCTCATTGTGGTGCGGTAATGAGTGTCGGACCAGGACTGGTGAGACCCAGGGTGAGATTCACCGAGTGACCTTGAGCCCATCATATTCTCTCAGCCTAACTGACCTCACTGGAAATAAATAAAAAACAGTCCAATAGCACCTTAAAGGTAAAGGGGTAAAGGGAACCCTGACCATTAGGTCCAGTTGCGGACGACTCTGGGGTTGTGGCGCTCATCTCGCTTTATTGGCTGAGGGAGCCGGCGTACAGCTTCCGGGTCATGTGGCCAGCATGACTAAGCTGCTTCTGGCGAACCAGAGCAGCGCATGGAAACATCGTTTACCTTCCCGCTGGAGCGGTACCTATTTATCTACTTGCACTTTGACGTGTTTTGTTCTGGATATAAGCTTTCGTGTGCATGTACATTTCTTCATGTGTGCATGCACACGAAAGCTTATATCCAGAACAAACTTGGCTGGTCTCTAAGGTGCTACTGGGCAGTTTTTTTATTTATTTCAACTGCGTCAGACCAACATGGCTACCTACCTGAATCTACCTCATTGGATCGCTGTGGAATAAAATGGGGGTCTGGGGCAGGAGGCAAGGAGAAAGAAAGGTGGGATATAAATGGAACGAATGAGTGAGTGAGTGAGTGAATGAATGAATGAATAAGAAAAGTATACTGTTTCAACAAGAAATTAAATCATTACAAGATTATATGTTGGACGTACCTGTAAATAACCACTTGCCCATTTACCTGTGAGGAGTGCAAATTGCCTCCATCTGATCAGTTTTAGTAAAATGTGAGGTAGGGTTGGACCACGCCATAATTAGGCACTTTTAAGTCCCACTGATCTCAGGGGGAGACTTGCATTTTCTCCAAAGGGAATCATGGAAGGCCTTGAGGCACCCTTGCCATGAAGTAAACCCACTAACCACAGTGCGACTTACTTCTGAGTTAGTGTGCACAAGAGGGTGGTGTAAAGTGCCTCAGGGCACTTTTGTTTGTTTGCACACATCTTTCAGGCAACTGATGCGCCACAAATGATTAATCTCAACCGGTATGCATTGGCAAGTGAGGTAGTAAATGTTTTTTTGTGGGGTGGCATAGGCCCTGGGCATATTTGCAAGGCTAATGTAGTATGCGGTGTTGAAAAAAACCACACATACGCAGTAAATATCACATTGAGACCAGTCCCCGGTACTTACTTCTGGATCTGATGTAACAATCATTGCAGTTGAGAAGACCACTTCTAATCCGGACGTCTGTTCCACTTGCTGCATCTCCAAGTTGTCCCTTGCAGATTCCACACTATTTATTGACAAAGAGTGGATATAATTAAAGTTAAATAATACATTCATCGGGATATCTAGGGATATGCTGTAGGCTGCCCAAAGTGGCTGGGGAAACCCAGCCAGATGGGCAAATAATAATAATAATAATAATAATAATAATAATAATAATACCCAAACTATGTTGCTTTTATACCAGGTTAATTGTCACGGTGCCCATCCACCAAGAATCCTGGGATCTGTACTTTGGTGAGAGTTTTCACTCTGAAATATCCCTTCCCTTACTCCCTATCACATGATTACTGTTCCCAAAATTCCCTAGAAATTAAATGATAGCTTAAGTCAGTGGTGTGGATATGCCATCTGGGTGTGCATCTTTGTTTGGGTTAAAAAGAGAAAAATTCTTTCCATAGTTCCTCGCCACATCTTCACATTGTCTCCAAGTGTCAGGGGCTGGACTGACGAGAAACGGTGGAGACCGCTCCCACCCCTTCTCCTGAACCTTCCAGAGAACAGGAGGACAGTATAGATTTAGAACAGTGGTTTGCAGAAGGGCACAGTTCAGAGGCTGCAGAGGGGAGAAGCTGGGAAATATGGGGAGAGGAACAGCAGGAAGAAGAAGCAGCAGCACCAGGGGAGAGACAGCTGACAGACTCAGTGTCTCTGGAAAGCATTCCTGACCACCCCCTCGCCCAGGACCAGGCGTGCATTGAGGGTATTAGAACAGAGAGCTCAGAGGCAGAAAGCTCAGATTAGCCAACACAGGGGTGATGTAGGATAGGAGAGACCGAGGGGGTAGGACTTTACTTGGAGCAACGCTATTATCTTAGGGAGACTGCCTTCCTTCGTTGCTCACTGTGAATTATTGAATAAATTGCTTGGTAAGAACTTTTATTGTTTATCTGCTTATTGGCTGCCACCATTGGAGGGATTGGATTCCCTGAAGCCTGACATCAAAGCAGGAGGATTTCTAGTGGTTGCATTGTCTGGAGTAGCTTGCCACATAGATGGCTCGGGATGGTGGAGTGTCCATCACCAGAAAGAAACAGAAGGTATAAGCACCTGCAAGGCAAGTTGCACTAAACCTCCCAACTGTGCTGAAGGGAACTGCCATGCAAAAGACAACAGGCAGGCCATCCTTTAGGGAGAATACGTTACTGAGGAATCCTACCCTGAAGCACTGAATATGGAAATAAAGACCAAGTGTTTCGATAATCATGGCTGCGCCTTTCCCGAGAGGCTGTCCGCAGCTAGAGCAGAGTTTCTTTCCGCTGACAGACCTAAAAGAAAGAAAGAAATGACAAAACCAGATTCAAACATTTCCTCCCATGCTGTGGCCCCCGTGAAAATCCTCTCACTCAGAAAGCTGATGTTTGGCATGAGAGGAAACCTTCCGCTGCCCTGAAAAGGCTGGTTTGTCCTCCAGCTAGCCAAAGCGTTGAGGACCTAGCAAGTGCTCAAACCATTCATGGCCAAACCAGCCATGGCTGAGGGTCTCTCACACCCCAAAGGTGGGGCTCCTCTCCTACATTCTGAGAAACATTGTACTAAGGTGACATTATGGACAGTGACTGCCTGTGATTGGCAAGGGTAGCGCATCTCCTGGAAAAGAGAGACATCTTCACCAGAGTAGCCCAATGGACAATGAACATACTGCACCACAGTTCATTTCAGTTCTCTGTCAACTGAATGGCACAGGAAGGAACTGTTTCTGGCTGAGACACCCACAGGGCTACAACCATCATAGCTACAGCATGAGTTATTCCTCTTAGGCAAGCGCCATGTGGATGTGCTCCATATCCGTGGTGGTTTGATAGGATCCTGTGCCATTGAAATTCTACTCAGTATTGATCCAGAGTAGATTCCAATGTATAGTTAGCAGAATAACAGCTTAAACTCATTGCAGGATTTCTCAAAAAATAGACCAGAGGCAATTGTATTTCATCCAGCAGAGCTTTACTGCTACTGAAGGCAAATGAGCATAATGGTCACAAATCCAATATATTCCGGATTGGCACTGTCCGTAAGAAATCCAGTTGCAGCAGACTTAACTTAAACTTACAATAGCTTATAGTAAGTCTAAACCTTAACACTAAGCATACTATGTACAGAACACCACACCAGAAGGAAGAGAGGTAGAAAGAGAGAGTGAAAACCAGGCTCCTTCTGGCCTTACTCTTATAGTCAGCATGACCATGACAGAAAGAGATAACAGAACCAGTTTAAGCCAGCTGTATTCAGCTTCTCTGAAGGAATAACCCATGAACCTTCTGCTTGTTTCTTTCACACAGAGAAACTTCCAGAAGCTTCCAGAACCCTCCTGAATTAAGTAGAATAGGAAAGATCTCTACACATCAGATCAATACTTTTTGCACTAAGAAATGCAAACTGACATCCTAAGACAACTATCTCCTTTATGTTTTGCATGTATGGCATTCAAACAACCTCCCATTATCTGTAGACGCAGCTCCTAGATATTTTCCAGGGTGATAAAATACTTTTGGGAACGTCTTAATCTATGCCACCACTCGTACACCTCAAAACTGCGCTAACGAGTTAGGAGGTTTTAGCTGAAATGACAACTTTGTAAAGTACCGGTAGCTCATTAGCTTGTGAAAATCCTTATTGACCTTTTGTACCTGTTGGGTGACTGGCTTTGAGTTGTAGGAGAACAGGGTGATGATGATGATCGCCCAGCTCCAGAGCTCTCTCGACAGCCTGCCCTGAAACAGAAACAAAACAGGAGGGAACTCTGGTGAAGCTTTGGAAACGCAAGTCCAACCCCACAACAGAGAGTCAGGAGGGATCCTAATGGGGCAGGAAATGGCATTGAGCCTCAGGCACTGAGCGGCCTCAAGGAAGCCATTCTGCTGCCTCAGGCAGGGCTGGTGGATTGACAAGCGTGAGGATTCACGCTGCAGGCCTGAGTGGTCTGGAGCAGGCTTTGGAGGTTGAATAAGAACCTCTCTCCCTGCATCTTGTGGTGAACTCTTCTTGCACATGGTTCCTTCAAATGGAAACAGGGGAGTCGCGAGTCTGAATGGCTCCCTGGGTAAAAAAACGCCTCCTTGTATAGTCAGAATTATCACTGTAGGACAAAAGCATGGCTAGCATTCCGCAGGCGAGAAGGATTTAATTAACTCATAATGATAATAAGGGAAAAAGTAAAGGTGAAGAATCCCTGGATGGTTCAGTCCTGTCAAATTCGACTATGGGGTGTGGTGTTCATCTTCACTTTCAGGCCGAGGGAGCTGGCGTTTGTCCACAGACAGTTTTCCAGGTCATGTGGCAAGCATGACTAAACTGCTTCTGGTGCAATGGGACACCGTGACGGAAACCAGAGCGCACGGAAACGTTGTTTACCTTCCCGCTGCAGCGGTACCTATTTATCTACCTGCACTGGCGTGCTTTCAAACTGCTAGGTTGGCAGGAGTTGGGGCAGAGCAACGGGAGCTCACCCCATCACGGGGATTCGAACCGCTAACCTTCTGATCGGCAAGCCCAAGAGGCTCCAGTCCTGTCATGCTCCTCTCCCCACTGCTCCACGCTCTGAAGTTGTACGGTCCAGGAACATTTTACCACATGACCCATTGTTTCTACGGTCTACCCCCAGATGTCACACTCCCTTCCCAGGGTGGCTTACTTGTTGTTCTCGCTTAGGGAAGGGTCAAATGTGAAACTTAAGGCAACCTCTTTCTCTTCCCTGGGGTCTCTGTCTCAGTGTGGTCTGTGATATCATAGCTGATTATATGCTCTCATACTATGCTGATTAAGTCAAGGAAGCCTCTGTTACCTACCTCCTTTTTATTATTATAATAATATTTATTGGCATTTTCATTTTCAAAAAACACCGTGTGATTTTACATATCTTTACATTACCTATGGGACACGGGTGGCGCTGTGGGTTAAATCACAGAGCCTAGGACTTGCCGATCAGAAGGTCGGCGGTTCGAATCCCCGCGACGGGGTGAGCTCCCATTGCTCGGTCCCTGCTCCTGCCAACCTAGCAGTTCAAAAGTACATCAAAGTGCAAGTAGATAAATAGGTACCGCTCCAGCAGGAAGGTAAACGGCATTTCCGTGCTCTGCTCTGGTTCACCGGAAGCAGCCTAGTCATGCTGGCCACATGACCCGGAAGCTGTACGCCGGCTCCCTCGGCCAATAAAGCGAGATGAGCAC